TTTGAATGTCGCAACAAACGATGCTACTGACTCCGCAAAATGGGCACTGCCAGCACAAAGAATAGTCTTTAGTAGACACAGACCCTAAGGATGAGGTGAACAACAACAACAAAAAGTTCTTCTCGGCCACTGTTTTTTTTTGTGTGCATTATTTGTTTTGTCAGATAATGATGTTTCCACCCTCAGATTCCTCAGAGGACGGCATCCATCGCTACAGCTCTCAACACCAACCTGTCCTCTGGCATACGGCATCCAGTCAGAGCCAGGTACTGAAGGAAGCCAACATCACCTGATGGGTTATTTCCTTTAAATAAATGCCTCCTGAATAATGTAAGGTTAACGCAACAACACGAGATAATTTGATATTCCCCTGGCAGCAATCCAGATCTGAGCCGTAATGATCGCTGGGAGAGAGGAGACAGCATGAGCATCATATCCAACCTGCCCCAGACTGGCTCTCTAGAGAGGCATCGCATCCTCAGTGAGTCCCCTGGCCCCCCCCCTCCCAGTGCTATTTCTCTGCAGACCGTCTCTGCTGTAAGTCTCATTTCATCATCCTAACTACACTCTACATTGTAATCCTTTCAGGCACCTCCAAAATGGACTCACCCATCCTCTCCCACGATAGTCGTCATAAGCCGGGGGAGTCTCGCACCTCCTCTCGCCCAGGGCGCCCTGCTGTAAGTTCGTCTTCAAACAGACGTTACACTGTCTGACTCTTCAGTAACCCCCTACTGTGGCAACCCGTTTTATTATTACTGAAGATTTGCATGCAGCACATAATGTCTCTTTGATATTAGAAGTTATAAAAAAAGCCTAACATGCTGTACTCATGCTTGTTTTGATCTAATATCTCTCTGTTCTGCTCTGTTACTTGACCTATAGTCCTCTATCTAAAGGGTTTCCCTTCACACTAACATTTGTCTCTCAAGACTCTGATGCTGTCTCCTTCCCTTCACGTTTCTCCTGTTCTTAAATCCCCTCCCTTCCTGTTGGCGTTACTTTGTATAAGCAGAGTTACAAGAGAGCTATAGGGGAGGTTAGTATCTCTGTGTGTCTTTGAATGCTCAGTGTCCATGCATGACTTTATTTTTCTGCATTCATTGGTGGAGTTGCATGCTCTACACCAGGGCTATTCAATTACAAATTCAAAAGGGCCAGATTTTAAAACCAGGAATTTGAAGAGGGCCGGACTTTTCGCATCATCTGCCACTTCATCCAAAAAGGCCAGTATGCATCCTCTCACTGCTCTAATTCTGTGAGTGACACGCTGTGGGGAAGCTGCTGTGTCTCTCTGTTGGGCTGTGCAGGTCCGCATCAGGGTTACGTCTCCGCTCATAAGCTGGAGACAAACTGTACTTTAACATCCCTCTCCTGTGATCCCTCAAGAAAGTTAGTCCGGATAAGTCAGGTGTTTTTCATCGTGATGCATCCGAGTGTTATATTATTTAATTACTGCAACGCACTCGTTGCAACGTTAGTTTTGCATTTGAAGTTGTTAGTAAAACAAATAAATACTTTGCAGCCCAGGCACATTTAAACCGGCGGTTTTTCACTGTATATTTTTCTTTATATAAATCATTTGGAAAGGCATGGTCTGAATGTTTTGAATACCACAAAACATTCAACGAACGTCCGTTCTGATCAGTATGGCAAACTCCCGACACAGATGAGAATGAAGTAAGATGCCTCACTTGCACGCTAGTTACATGCCGGTATGCTGTTGATTTTTTTCATTAATTGGATTCATGCTGACTGGGTTGGGGCCACTCTGAGATTACATGCAGGCCGCATTTGGCCCCCGGGCCGCCAATTGAATAGCCCTGCTCTACACTGTCCTGATTCATCTGCTAAATTGTGTTTAGTCTTTGTATGAAATACCACTCTTGATTTGAAAGTGCATGTGATATGTTTAATAGTTTCACAGACCTTGTAATCGATCATGACTTCAATTCTTTCTAAGATATCATGAATTCTGAGAGTATTGAGAGTTTAAAGTCTCGTCTCTTAACCTCCAATGATTCCTCACCTTCAGTCCTTTTCCACAGTTCTGTGTTTTGCTCATTTCTTTCAAGCCTGAGGTTTTGTTTGAAACATTGTTTGAAGTCAAATCCCGTAGTAACCGTGAAATGTGTGCACACAGGACCACGGCCTCTTTGCCAAGGAGCGTACCGAGGAGCAGCCGAGACCCCCGGTCAAGGCCAACGACTACTCCTCGTCCTCCGAGAGCAGCGAGAGCAGTGAGGAAAGCGAGAGCGGGGAGGGTGTTGAAGAGGAAGAGAGCCCGACTGATCGGTAACAACAACAAAGCCCCTACAAACACACAAAGACAGGAATTCAAAGTTTTTATTTATCCTCAACAAGTTTTCAGTGCTCCCTATAAAAACGTTTGTTTCTGTCTTCCTAAACTTGTGTTCCTCTTTCAGTCAAAGGGACGCAGACACAGATTCAGTAAACACCATGGTGGTGCATGAAGACGAAGGCGAGGTGGGTGAGGGGGAGCAGGCTGGAGGCTACGGGGATCAGACCATGCTGGTGCAGAGGGTGAGTCATCTGATACATAACGATGCTTAAAATGCAATGAGACTCGATGGGAAAAAAATCATCACAGTAAATACGCATGTAAAATTCAAACCGACTGATTTTGTTGTCTTATGTTGCTCGTGTTTTTATTTCCACACATAACTGCAAAACTGCAGGAGGCATGACATCATCAGACGACATTTTGCAAGCTGCTTGAAAAGGTTTTAATAGCAGAACAGGAGGATGCCCCAAACACATCAATGATGGCTGTCAGGTTTCAGCGTCACGCCCTCAACACTTGAGATAGTCTCTGTTCATTCAGCACTTTACAGCATTGTTCAACAAGCGCCCAGGAAGGAATGAATCAGAGGATATGCAGACAGACATACAGTGCCAACTCTGCTAACAATAGACATTAATGTTCCATAGCCACAGCTTCACTGTTCAACATCTGCTGTTTGGTAATTTAAAGAGTGTTAGGGAAATAAATCAGCCACTGGCTAGCTCAGGATCTCGTCCCACATTTAACAATTAAAAAGCCCATCGTACAGAATCACTGATCTCCTGTAAATGTGTATGTGTCAATAATAGGGTTGCAAAGGGGTGGAACATTTCCAGTAAATTTCAGGAAACTTTCCATGGAAAGTTAAAGGCTTAATATGTGATTTTTCATACTTAAATGTAGAAATCAAGTATATCCTCTGAAAATAACTCTGTGAGTCATGACTGTCTACAATGGGTGTAACACCCGAGTCCCACTGTCTGTGATGCTTTCAGAGTTTTCAGAGTCCTATCTTCAGTTTGTTTACATCGCCCGGACGGCCGGCTGACTCCTCCCCTCGTGAATAAAAGTTGTTTAATTGAGGGACTAAAGAAAAGAAGAATAACATACTGTACTCACTGCTTAACTGTGTTTCTAGATCACGCTCATTTCAGGTAAATTTACATGCAGTGTGAAGATACCAGCATAATAAAGATCGCTAGCATTAGCATGCTAACACAACAATGCAGCACGAGTTGTTTTGGTTTCATGCTGGTGCTCAAGGGCGACACCTGCTGGATCAAGAAATCACATATAAAGCCTTTAAGCTGTGGAATTTTGGAAATATTCCAAATCATATTAATACCATACATCACATTTTTAAAATATATTACTTAATAATATCATCCAAACTTACTTCACTTTATGCAGTCCCCGGGCTAAAACGTGTGGCTTCAATAGTCTTGTGCTCTGGACTCAAAAGTGTGGTCCAGGGTTCTAGAAATCATCTGTGCATGTGATGGAGGAATGCACAGCGCATGTAGGGGGCGTGGCCTCAATAGCCCTGCGTTAAGCAGTGTGCTATGTGCGTGTGATTGAGGAATAGCATAGAGTGTACTTGCATGATTGTTTGTTTTAGTCAAGATGATGCTAAAATATATTTTCCCCAACTATATTTAAGTTCCCTGTTAAGGGCCAACCTTCAGTTCTATAAATTCCCGGTTTATTCCTGTTCATTCCCATAAATTCCTTTTAATTCCCGTGGAAAGTTTCGAACTTTGAAAATTCCCAGAATTTTGCAACCCTAGTCAATTATGATGGAACTATATATACGTTATATTGTGTAGCTTGCCTTAGCCACTCGGTGTAAGGCTGGTATAAATCTCTGAGGTTTTTGGAGAGATGTGGATATGATTCAGTGACAGACTTGCAGGTGGCGGATGATGAGTTGGATGTGAGAAGTGTCACCTTCCCCTGAAGTGCAACAGTTTGCTGTGGTTATGCTTTTGTGTGTGTGTGTGTGTGTGTGTGTGTGTGTGTGTGTGTGTGTGTGTGTGTTTGAATAAGAAAAAGTGTTGTGTGTTTGAGCCAAGCTGCAGTTACATCACTGGAGATCAAAGATGTGGAAATCATTTGGCTGCCATTATAAATACAAGAGGAAACATGAAGAAGTGCAGACAAAGAGGAGGAATTTAGATGATCTTCACACGTACAGTTAATATGTTAATAACTGTTTTAAAATCAGACATTCAGCTGCATCACATGAGAACAGAAACGGTGCTACATTTTTTTTGACATCCACTAGATAGTACTGTGAAATTAGTTTGGATCTCCAGGCGGTCATGTTTCATTCTTATGTGCAAACAAAGTTCTCCCCATTTACTACAGAGGGTGAGCAAACCACGGCTCTACTGTAACAGAGACAAAAGAGAGGGTGTCGATAATCTTAATCTTTTTTTTTTTTTATATATATTTTATTCATTTTTTAAACATAACAAGCACAGAACAAGACAGCACAGATGTAACCAAATTACTGAATAATATATATATATTTTTTTTAATATATATATATTTAAAAAAAAATAATAATAACATACATGGGTTGTAATAACATATATCATATCAGATACAATCTTATCTACCTAAATTACATGTCAAAGGGAAAAAACATGACTATGATGTATTTTTGAAGATAAAGTGTGGGCACCCTTTCTGCAATAAGCCAACCAGATCAGTGGGAAGATAATCTATGAAGGGTTGCCAAATATTATAAAATAAGTTGTTATTGCCCTTTAATTTAGCACTGAGGTGTTCCATAGGAAGAACCTTAAATGTTTCTCTGTACCACTGCGTAACTGATGGAGGCTTCTCCTGAATCCACTGAAACAGAATACATCTCCTCGCTAGGAGCAGAAGTTTACCCATTAGAACGAGCTGTCCTGTTGATAGAGAGAACTGTTGCGTAGGTAAGTTCAGGAGAAACAATGCTGGCTCTAGTTTTATTGTTCTGTGAAAAATTAAGCCAAGCTCCTGGGCAACATTTTTCCAATACCTGGATATTAAGGGACATTGCCATACACAGTGATAATAAGTTCCTACTTCTTTTTTACACTTCACACAGAGGGCGGAGATCTGAGGACTCATTTTGTTTAAAAATTGTGGTGTTCGCTGAAGTCTATGTAATATTCTGTATTGGCTCTCTTTGAGTCGATTACATGTAAAGATTTTCCTAGCTGAAACAAAGGTACCTGACCACGCCTCTGCACTAAGTTCAACCTCCAAGTCCCTTTCCCATAATTCCCTAGTTCTCTCAACCCTATCACAATTAATAGGATGTAATTTGTCATAAAAAAGGGAAATTATTTTTCTGTCGTTGAGCGCATTTAAACTAAAATTGAGAAGAAAACTTTCAATTGAGCTCAACAATGATTGATCAGTGGGGAAAATCAGATCTGATTTGACAAAGTGTCTAACTTGGAGAAAACCAAAGAAGTGACTATTTGGTATTCTGTATTTGGTCTTGAGTTGATTGAATGACATAAAATCACCATTTTGAAATAAATCAGCCACAAATCTTAGACCCTTTGAATACCAGTCATTGATAATCTTAATCTTACTGAGACAAACTCATGCAGTTGGCATAAACCGATATTTGTCGTAACTATTTTCTTAAGTTACTCGTATACCAAAAATGCACGCTTACTGACCCAAGCATGAAATTATTCAGCCAGCCTCTCTTAGAGCAGCAGTCAGGTGAAAAACTGTTAAAGGTGCTGTATGTCTTTTAAGTTGCAGGAAAACAGTCCAACTCAAATAGATCATATTCTGGTAATTGGTGCGGCAGATTAGCTAAATCAGTAATCAGTGTTACATAACGTGTGTGTGTGTGTGTGTGTGTGTGTGTGTGTGTGTGTTTCTCTTTTACCATATAGACCCCAGAGAAGCGGAGTCATAATGGGTACACTAACTTGCCAGATGTGGTTCAGCCCTCCCACTCCCCCACGGATTCAGCCTCCCACTCCTCCCCCGGGAAGGACTCTGTTTATGATGTGAGTTCAACGATGCTAAATATATCAGGCCTAAATTCCTGGTTTATTTTTACGTGTTCCCCGTCTGCCATCATTCCAGCCAGGAGGTCTTTTGAAGTCAGTTTGAATGTCATCACAATCAGTACTCATCCTTTTCTTTGAATTAACATTTCTCAGTTTTCTCTAAAAAAAAAAAAAGTACAGTTATGTAAAGTCTTACTGGACTTCCATGTTGATGTGGAAACACCACACACCCTCTCTTCTCCTGCAGTATCAGTCCAGAGGTTTGGTTAAAGCATCTGGAAAGTCCTCCTTCACAACCTTTGTGGATCTTGGCATGTACCAGTCACCAGGAAGTACAGGGGATACCATCTCTGTCACTGGTGAGTCCTCGGCTTCAGGTGTTCATGAACATTAAAACAAGAATAATAAACATTAACATTTGCCGTAATAATCTGTACGATAAATACACATCTGGAAATGAAATGTAGCCGAGTGTTTGTATTAAAAAAAATAGTTGAAACTCTATTAAATCACCACATAGCTCCCGAACCTTGCACCTTTCTGCTCTGGTGTTTTTTCCTTCCCTCAATTAAGCCAATCACAACACTGCTCCGTGTTTAGGCTCGAGGTTTGAGCAGCTGAAGATGGAGGTGAGGAAAGGATCCATGGTGAATGTAAATCCAACCAACACACGCCCCCCCAACGACACACCTGAGATCCGCAAGTACAAGAAGAGGTTCAACTCTGAGATCCTGTGTGCTGCGCTCTGGGGTGAGAACGGAGCTAAGAAAAAGAAAAAATGAAACACAGACACGATCAGATACCACAGAACTAATCTATTACTCTGTGCTGTGCAGAGAAACCAGTTGCATAATTATTGTTATGTCTTTTTTTACCCCTTCTTATGTCCTTCACCATCCTGACAAAGAAGCTCTTCTGTCAGCTCCAGCAGGGCTCTGCTCTTTAAAAACAGAAATGTGACATGAAGATTTGATTTCAGTCCAGTGGTCATCCTTTAATTATCAGAGCGTGACATTAACAACTCTTCGCTGGAGAACACTGTGTCCCTGCTTTCCATAGAAGACGTCTTTCTTTTTTTCAAATCAATTCAAACTCTTTCGAAAAGTAATGAGTATTTTTATGTTCCTCCACGGCTCTATTCTAGTTGACAGTTACCCATTAAAGCGTCTTTCTTTTTTTTTAATATCTCCTCGTTACCAAAAAGTTTCAGGTTATTATGGGGAAATAATCATCAAATATGAAAGCATTAGACATTTCTGTGACAAGTTACAACAAAAGTAAACGGCAAAGAAAGCACATGTAGGTGTGGAAAGGCAATTATTTCACTCGTTATCTGTTCAATAAAACACTGTGTGTGTGTGCTTGTGTGTGTCTGTTCAAGGTGTGAACCTCCTGGTGGGCACAGAGAACGGTTTGAAGCTGCTGGACCGCAGTGGTCAGGGCAAGGTTTACCCCCTCATCAACTCTCGCAGGTTCCAACAGATGGACGTCCTGGAGGGCCTCAACCTGCTCATCACAATATCAGGTCATTACTGCTGCTCGTCGCCAGGCTGCTCCCTCCACACTCGCTTAAAGCTGTCAGAGCTGTAGGGGTTTTTTTGTTTTTTTTTTGGCTTTGGACCATTGTCTTTAATGGGATGCCAAACACGAGATGCCAAACTTGTCCTCATGCCTTCAGAGTGTCATGGATTTTGACTTTGCTCTTCAAAGGGACAGGATGTTTTTAATTTCTATGTAATGAAGAGTCTGACCAAAGCTAATCCGTCGATGAGCGCTGATGAACGTTTTATTTATAAAGATAAAGATAAACTTAAAGATAAACTTTATTATCCCCGTGGGGGAAATTTGTGATGCTTATAAGAGCATTCAGATCATGACTAAATGAATAAATGCCTGTTATAATCGATGTCCCCCCCCTTGTGCTCATGAAGGCAAGAAAAACAAAGTGCGTGTCTACTACCTCGCCTGGCTGAGGAACAAGATCCTCCACAACGACCCCGAGGTGGAGAAGAAGCAAGGCTGGACCACTGTGGGGGAGATGGAGGGCTGTGTGCACTACAAAGTGGGTGAGTGACAAGACGATGGCAGTTTAATCTCTGCTGTCTTTTTTTTTTTTCAACTCCTGACCAGTCCTCATGAATGCATCTGGCAGAGTGAATAATTCATAACAAGTGTCTGATGTCGCGCGGCCTTGTGGTGGTTTTCTATCCAGTGAAATACGAGAGGATAAAGTTCCTGGTGATTGCTTTGAAGAATGCAGTGGAGGTGTACGCTTGGGCGCCCAAACCTTATCACAAATTCATGGCCTTCAAGGTTAGTCTGCCTTTTTTTTTTTTTTTTCCCCTTTGAGCTGGATTAGTTATGCCAGATCAATCAACCAGAAGAGCATTCAAGTTGATTAACTCACACACTTTCTACTCCCCCTCCCCCGCTCCTTTGTAAACAGTCTTTTGCTGACCTGCCTCACCGGCCGGTCCTGGTGGACCTGACAGTGGAGGAGGGTCAGAGGTTGAAAGTCATTTATGGTTCTTGTGCTGGCTTTCATGCCATCGACGTGGACTCTGGAAACAACTATGACATCTACATACCTGTTCATGTGAGTTATGCAGACATTGGTGTTTATTTTTGTTGTTTTTTTTAAAGGGAAAGACGTTAAACCTCCAGGAGTTGATCCCTTTTTTTCATTTCCCCCTCAAACAGATCCAGAGCCATGTGATGCCTCACGCGATAGTCTTCCTGCCCAGCTCAGACGGCATGGAGATGCTGCTCTGCTACGAGGACGAAGGCGTCTACGTCAACACCTACGGACGAATCATCAAGGACGTGGTGCTGCAGTGGGGCGAGATGCCCACATCTGTTGGTATGAGTCAACCCTGAAAACGCACAGTGACACAGAAAAAGAGAGCCTCGTCTGTCGCCAGCTGTGATCTCAGACCGTGAAACAGCAGAAATGTGGCCTCTGAGTCTGAAAAAGTGAAGCGAGATGCAGACGTGTCTAAAAGCTCCTTTCAGGGTGACGGCCAGCAGGGGGTTACTATACTGGCTGCACAGATAAGTCACAGAAAATTACATCTCAGGAAAATATCCACGGAGATAACACATCCTCTAATAAGGTGTTGTTCTCAGTTTCTATTTTGAAGTCCTCATCCAGAACAGTTTTCTGAATCACTGTCCCGAGGGATCAGTTCAACGTCTGTACCGGACGATGTCAGCCTGGTTGCCACGCCTTGGCTCATTGGCGAACCATTAGGCACGCAGCAGTGTGAGCAGTATGAATCCTTTTGTATCGCATCGTTAAAGAGTATTGGCGAGTTGGTATACAGCACCTAACGGCTGAATCGGAGGAAATGATATTTTAGGGCAGAAGAACTCAAACTCTTGCTTTGTTTTCATGCTCTCATGTTGAAAGTGTGAGCAGTTATTGAACACTCACAACAAATTGAATACATCCAATCGGCAAATCAGACAAAGAATTATAAAGAAGTGATGAACAAAGGCTGGAATCTGCCATCGGCTTTCCTGCTGTTATAACATCGCTATCTGCACTGATTTTTTTACAATCTGTGCATCTCATGCTCCCGTTAAGAGACAATAGATTGTAGGCAGGTTTTATTTGATGATTTGGCTTCCTTTTGATTGACCAGTTGCAGTTAGCAGACAGTTGTGTTTGTTTGTTTATTTGTTTGTTTGTTTTTGGATAGTAAACCACTTTTTTGCAAGCTAAAACTAGCATCCTAGTGTGTGGTACAGATGCACCTTGCTTACCAAGCCAACGCTACCATTAGCTGATATGTTAGCTACCAACTTCAGTCACCCCACCGAAAAACTGGATGGAGACAACAAGTAGAGGACGCCACGTTCCCACCAGGACGCCCCCTCAGTACATGAATGGGCTCCAGTGTGCTACTTTCACTGCAGGGTTTCAATCTCTGGCTTAATTAATGAAACGTTACAATTCCAAGCTTTTCCAAATGGGCACAATGTCTGCAGAAAATCTATAACGCCAGAGGAAAACATCACCAAGAAAACATTACTGAGAAAACATCTACAAGAAAACATTACTGAGAAAGACAGAAGTTTCTAGCAGATAACTCTGGACATGTCCTGGTCCTGACCTGGTCCTGACCTGGTCCTGACCTGGTCCTGATCTGGTCCTGACCTGGTCCTGACCTGGTCCTGACCTGGTTAGCTTTGTTTGTTAGCATAGTAAGTAACCATGATGCTCAAGCCAGGTTAAAAACAGAGCCAGCTTCTTTCTTTAATCTCAACAGACTCACTTTCTTCAACGACCTTGCTTGTAGTACACCGCTCAGCTTTTCTCATCTTAAAAGTCTTTTTTTTTTTTTTTTGTGTGTACGTGTGTTTTATCAGTTTCATTCATGCTGATTGCTGACGCTGTCACTCAGTTGGTGCTTCCTGCCTCTCATTGGCAGGAACCCCATGGTGACATCACGATACCAAACTCAAGGCATCAAAACAATTGTCCAATAACCAAAGAGTGATGTCACTGTGCCTACATCCATGATGTCTACACTGTCATCATCAGCCAGCCTATCACTAATGTTACATTTGCTTTTCAGCTCATATCTGCTCTAACCAGATCATGGGATGGGGGGAAAAGGCCATTGAGATCCGCTCCGTAGAGACCGGCCACCTGGATGGTGTCTTCATGCACAAAAGAGCCCAAAGGCTGAAGTTTCTTTGTGAGAGAAATGACAAGGTAAGAGAGCTGCAGAGAGCTCATCATGTGAAGATAAGGCAGTGACAGCAGCTTGACTGTAA